TCGCTCACCCGAACACAAATAATTCTTAATTAAGTATAGTATGTACCGTATGGAATAAATGACTTTCCCGTTGCATATATCTTCTACTCGAGCGAAAATGTGATTAAGAAAAATGAAAAATGAAGAAAATAATATAAAATCAACGGCCCTCGTCAGATGTCACTGCAGTATAGCTCATTTCAATAAAAAACAATTGCTTTTTAATCACGGGAAACCGAGAATGAGCGTTCAAGCATAATTTTATCACTATATGATTATATTTTTTGCTTGAACGCGCTCGCCAAGGGGGTATCATTATTTTGCAGCCCGGGGTTTGACCAAAAATTAAAAATAATCCCAAAATAATATAATGTGATCCCCCAGAACATATTATATAATTGCTCTACGTAAATAGACTGTCGGCGCCGCGTCAATGGACCCGGGTAAATAATATAATAATACATAGGTATACATATCGTACTGATATAATTATAGGTTATGTAACTTATAGTTATAATATACTAGGTAGGTATGTATATGTAGTCGCCCTGGCGCCGCCCAGATTTGTGACAATTCGCGTCGGAACGGTTTCTCTCTCTCTCTCTCACACACACACACACACATACACACTCTTTCGTTTACTCGTTTACCCGCTCGTTGGACCGCGTTTATTCCGTCAAATAAAAAGTAAAATTCTTTTATTTCACTATATATAATATAGTCCGGACAGGGCGCGCGTTGTTATTATCCGCTGATTAGTGTTTTGAAAACGACTCGCACACGCATTATTATACCTAAGTAACGTGTGTAGAAGTATATATATATATGTATATATTATGCGTATGCGTTCCACTCTTGCAAATTATACACACACTCAAAAAAGGTAAGAACCCGTTAGGGTAAAGAAAAACACAAAAATTCGTACACACACACGCGGGCGTTTATATTTGTGTCTAATATATAATATTATAACGATAATAATTAAACTTGTCTGCGAGTACGCGACTGTAATTGCCCGTTTAGGTGGAAAACAAAACCAAGAGGATCCTCAGAGGTAATAATTCTGTACACTATATATATATACTAAATATTATGCGTGCACATCGCGAAATGGTAAAGCACGGCGGTTGATTGACGTACACTGACGACGGAGGGCAATTATTTCGTATTTTTTATAAATATATATATATATATGTATCATCAGAAGTGGACGGTGTGGGTTAGACTCAGGACTCGGCGGACGGGGGGTAAAAAAAATCCGAAATCTCGTACCGATTTTTGGCCCGGTCGAATGCATTGTATATGATTTGGGTACTCGCAAAACCCAAATCTCTCGGACGTAAATTATAATATATTATCATTAAGTGTTGGCATTATATTACTTACTCGGACCAGACCGATGATTTACCGGTCAACCGCAGACTTTCTCACGGTGTATTCGACCTGAGGAATTTCCACCACTGTATACTAATAAAGTAATAACTATCAACGGTGTCTGATAAGTGATAACGTTATTGTAATTGTCGGAACGATAAACCGTTTTGTGTATACACACTTTAGCGAAGGAAATCCGTCTATCGCTGTAAATTATCGTCGAGCATAAAAAAAAATATCGCAATTGAAAATATATATTTCACATATCGAAATCAGCTACAATACATAATACAAAATATAATAATAATAATAATTTAATATATAATTTGTTTAATATTAACGGATGAAATATATTACAACTGAAGAAGTAATTGGGTGAACAAGTCAGCACCATATATTTATATATTATACAAATGTATAATATTACTAATTATTTTATAAATATTGTTGCAGTTATTTGCATATATCAGGGGCGGCCAAACGGTCGATCGCGGACAATTTCATAGTCGATCATGTTAGAATTTATTTTTAGGGACACGCGAACGAATTGTTATCGAATTGTCGATAAGTTTTATCTGTTTGTAATGCCACACTTCAACAAAGCCCAGATCAACAAAATAATATGTTAATTAAACTTATCTAATCAGATTTTAGAAATTATTATTTATTATTATATTATTTTTATTAATAAGTAATAAGTATTAATTAATACTTATTGTATGTTTATATGCACTTTACGCAAGTATGTTTCTTAATAATTATAGTTATTTAATAATAAAAACAATTTCTATAAAAGTCTATCCTCAAAGGTGAAGTATATTTTTAGTAAATCGTGACCAAAAAAGTTTGGCAACCCCTGTTATATATAGCTTTATCCTATTGCAGCCGACACCTGTAGTCAGGGTAATTTAACCAACAGATTAAGTAAAACATATTATAATCTAAAGTCAGAGAACAGCATGTAAGAAAATTATGGAAAATAAATACTTTCAAAATAAAAACGAAAGAAACACAAACATAAAAATTAACCACTAAAACTTTGTGTGGAAATTATCAAATAAATTATAATTTTTTAGTAATAAAAAATATTCTTCGTTTTTATTTATTAAATTTTGAATTTTGTTATTTAAATTAAATTTCAAATAAAGCAAATTTTGTTTTTATGATTTCAAAATTATTTTTGCTTTCGCCCGTAGAAATCACTTCTCAGTAGGAGTTTGCAAATTGTCCCATAATCTATGTTATCAAGTTGATATATTAAACAGTCTTATTTAGGTAATAATAATAATATAATAGAGTAAAAAATTATAATTTTCATTATTAGTTATTATCCTAAACAAAATGTTATTACATTTTTAACGGTGCGATGTATTATTATTTATATTTAAAGTAAAGAAAAAAAAAGTACATATAAAATACAAATTCTCAATTGTTTCTGTATTTGACACGTCGTAGAGTGTGTATTGTTTTTTACGCGCCTTGTTTAGGATAAACAATAATTATTATACCTACCTAATACGATTATTACAATATACATTACCGTTCATTATAATAATAATATTATATCCGCCGCCGTACTTCAGATTATTAGCAGTTGAGTGCAATGATCGTTATTATAATATTTAGACTAAGGGTTAACCCTTGTCAGAAAACGTATCGTTATGAAGCCGTTGGCATTGACGTGTGGAAATGTGCCACTCTTAGCACTGTACTTATATATATATATTCATAATACCTATGCCAAGTATATAATAAATAATAATAATATATAATATTATTTTCTGTGCTACATCCGTCTCCTCCGCTTGTCTATATATCGGTGGCCCTTTAATTATCATTGTTGTTGCAATGCTAACGAACGAACATCACACGTCTCGAAAACCCTACCTATATAATATAATATAGTTACAGAAAAAAAAAATCATAATAATAATAATAATAATAAACCCGAGAAAAAGTATAGCATAACGCCATAAATCGATGCCGTTCAACAATATAACATAATATTATAACTACGTTTTATTGTTGCCCTCGTCGAGTGTACMCACACACATCATAAGGCGTACCATATAGGTACGCAGCAGCGGGTCCGTGAGAAAGACGAGTAGTTCACTCCGACTTTTGTCTTAGACGAGAGATGAAGACTCACCCTTGGTTCCGAGATTTTGGTGTGAACGGAAGTCGTCCGCCATTGTGTTACCCTTTTCTCTTTAGAGATTTTTTTCTTACACTTTTTCTCCGTAACGTGTTGCCTACACTCAATTAACGTCGTATTATTTAACTGCAGCGTGGAGCGGGAAGGGGGAGGGGGAACTCCGAGGGAAAAAAAGGTCAAGAAGTTATAATATTATGTGACGCCCATCATCATCGCTGCACCGCGATAGTATCGGAAATAACATTATCGTCTCCGCCCCGCGTACGTGTTGACGATGATTATGATGATAATAATATTATAATAATGTGTAAAATAATATTATTATTATTATTACGTCGGCGAGTAAAAGAAGTAGGTAATAGTAACAAAAATCGAACAAGCAATCAGATTTCTAGTGTAGACAATTTTGTTGTTGTTTATTGTTGAGCATATACTTTATATTGTATAATATACACAGTAATAATATAATAATAATAATAATAAAAAAACATAATTTTATTTACAAAATATAATATAATTACACTTAACGTCTAAATACAAATACAACATACGTATAAGTTATCACAGTTTTTGGCGAATTGGCTTAACAAGTATACCTAATAATAATAATAATAATAATAATACAATATAATAAATTATAGAGGACGGRAAGGTYTTATATAAAAATATGATCGGGCCTCGATACGAATGACAATTTTTTTGATCTAATTCGGAGKAAAACGTGTCCCCAGCAGATAGACGTGCGCTAAGTCATATTGTATGGTCACGATAATGATAATATTATTAATTATTTACACGCTGTAGGCAACGCGATGGTAGATATACGAAAATATATTGTCATAAAAATAACGCTTACATACTATCCGATTCCATAATAATAATATAATGTACAAAAGACGTCAAAGACGATAATAAACATCAGACTAGGGTGATATACAGCAATAAAATAATAGTAAAAATAATGATAACGTACGATATTATATTATTAYTACACTCRTGTGACATAATAGCTGCAGTTGTGTGTGCATTCGGAGCCAGTGGCGGATTTTCAACAATTTTCTTTGGTGATTAGGGGATAGACACTGAGGCAAATTAATTTAAATTTAAAAAAAAAAATGTATTAAAAATTGTTATTCAACACCCCCCTCTCCTCCTTAAATTCGCCACCGACTATACTATATGACAAGTATATAATATAAACGACCTGTTCGGTGTATTTATACCAATAATAATACTAATAATATACGATAAAAAAAATACCATATTGAAATCTGTTCAAAGAGAGATGTGTCCTAAATCTATGGTTGAGTCTATGTAGGTAGTCTGAATAATAATAATAATAATAATAATAAAATAAGCGCATTGAAAAAAACGGACAACATATAGTATATACACAATTTCAAACGATGTATATAAATACAAATATCATCAATTCGTTGTTTAAACAATATAATAATATCATTACGAAAAATTCGCCACGTGACCTATACATAATATAATATGTACATAATATTACACTATTGTTAAATGAGGTTATTTGGTACCTATATATATACGTATTATATGCACCGTATTCGTTGATTGCAGTTGCAGGACTCGAACGGTCACTGGAGCAAATCGTACAGGGCCGTTATGTAAGTCTGGGCCATCTGCAATGTCTCGTACTTGGACAGCTGTCGGTCATTGCCGAGGGTGGGCAACACGGTGCGGAGTCGGTCGAACGCCTTGTTCAGGTTCTGCATGCGCCTCCGTTCCCGAGCGTTGGCCGCCAGGCGCCGTCTCTTCGTCACCTTGTCGGTGCACCCGCCGCCCGCGAGGTCGTCGCCCAGTCCGTCGTCGTAGGCGCCAAAGTCGATGGCCGTCTCGCCGACGCCACAGCCGCCGTACGGCGATTTCGGATCGTCGCCGGCGCACGACGACGACGAGGCCGTCGCCGTGCACGTGG